CTCAGAATAATAAACAATTTGATCCGGTGTTCGACCTTCCTTCTACTTCAAGTAGGCCTGTTTATTTTCCCATCTTGTTGTAAGCCCAAGTAACTAACTGGGAACCGACATCTTTCCATTAACAATATTCAGTCCACATCCAGAGGCCACTGACTGTTGTAGTCAGATGTCGGGCGAATTACACAATTCAATAGGCGGCTGGTTAATCTTAAATACAGCCCAATGGGAAGACATACAGCAAGATTCTCATTCGTATTAATTTGTCCATTTTCTTTTGCTCGAGGTTCTCTCCTCCTCCTCCTCCTGACTTTCAACCCGCAGTTAGCCACTTCACACAACAAGACAGACTGGGCCGACTGCGAGCTCCAAGTTATCCCATCAGTTGGCAACCCTTCAAGCCACGGCTTTTAGCACACCGCGATAGTTTCAAGCGCAGCAGATTGTTTATAGTGAGGAAAGAAATGCGCCGAGGATTGACCTCACTCTCTCCCCCGCCATCAGCAACAGGCCACCGCCTAGCTGATCGGTTGCATGAGATGGAGTGGGAAACTATTGCACAACACTACTAATAAATACAATCAATGGGTATGCGCATGGTACGCGAACGGCAGCAATGAGATGAAATAGTTTAAAGGGCAGAAAAAAGCGTTACCGTGTTGGCAATAAAAATAAGTGTATGTATCCACTGTCATAGTTCAAATGAGCTGTGTTACACACCTACATATACGCTCACCTTACCCTATCCATTGCGTTGCCTGCCGTGTTAGAAGGGTTGTACTGTAAATCTTTGCCGGTTAATGGGGTCGCATAACCATTCCTTGCCGTCTTTAAGTAGCAAATATAGTACATGCTTGTGCTTTTGCTGTTGTTTTTTTTCACCACGCTTTTACTTCATTTTCTTATGCCTCTAGAATGCCCCGTATATATAGTCGGATCTACCAATGTTGGCAAATCGAGTCTTTTCAATCGCCTGCTTCTGTCAGACTTTTGCAAATCAGAGGCCCGGGAGTCGATCCATCGTGCCACCGTCTCACACTGGCCA